AAATTTAATTAATTTTACTGAAGTGCCTGGTAAAAATCTTTAAAATATTGTATTGTACCACAACTATTATATTTTTAGGATAAATTTTAAAAGAAAATTTTCTCTACGTACCTTATGATATCTAATATTTTACATTTAATGTATAAAATAATATGAATTTATAATTGTATTTTCTGATTTTGTTATTAATTAATTTACGATCTAATGTTGCAGTTGCAGTTGTTTTCCTTGCAACTTCTTCATCGCGATAATACATTCTCCGCAAAGAGTCTTATTATGGATGCGACGCTTCTCACTGCGGTAAATTATCATTCATTATATTTCATTTGTTTTTACATTTACAAAGTGATTTATTCATCTTTTTAATTTTATTTTAGATAGTGGGTAGTATCAGCACGTATTTATTAATTTTAATACAATTTTTAAAAATGAAATATTATTGCGATGATGAAATTGCCAGAAATATTACACAAATAATTCACTGAAATGAAAAGGTAGTGTAATCAAATGAGTAAATATCTATTTTAACAATAGAAAATGATATTTTTTATTAGAATGTTTTAATAAAATACACACGTATATATATGTATATGTATACATGTGTATGTAGAAATCTTAATTTATATTTATTTATTGATATTTACAATATATCGATTGAACTTTGATGTAAGTACAACAAAAAGAGATTAAAACGAGTCTAATTATATTAAAAATGAAAATTTTTTTATTAATGTATGTATAATGTTTTACATGATACATTTAAACAATATTAAATTGCAATTATATTTTATACTACTTAAGTATTAAGATCTAATTGCAACTTAACATGTTTTATTTATCATCAATGTTTTAAATGTATCACGTAAAACATTCAGATGTATTTACAAAAAAATTTTATTTTTAGTATAATTAGGTCATATAACAATTTACACTTTTGTTGCTCTTACATTAAAGTAAAACAAATCAATATAAATATCAATAAGTCAGTATTAAGATTTCTAGCGCAAAAATAAAAAAAAATCTAACGGCCTGTTAAATAGTTACTTAGAGATATTTGTTGTCTGCCATCCATTTATCAACAAAAAATTTAAAGCAATTAATTTAATTTATATATTATTACAATAATGAAATTCGTGTGGTAAAATCCGATCTCTGCTATTCTTAAAATACGAAAATTGATCTTGTTCTATTTATGTTATTTGTAGAACATGACGTAAATGTTAACAATTTCATCTGTCAAGATAGAAAGTCGACTAATTCTAATCTAGATAGTAGTGTTGCATTTGCATTATAGCTTGATTCATTTTACGATATTACATTTGTTATTCACGCCCTTCGCGATAATATTAGTTGTTTCGCAATATATACACAGCATAATTTAATGGTATTCTTGTACTTACATTGTTAGAAATGTTTTTAATTTTATTAACTTTTAAATTACACAATTTGAATTTAATTTCATGACATTACATTATAAATTTAATGTATTTATAATTAAAAAGTATATATATATATATATATTATTTGTATACATGTACATAAAATTTTATGCATGTTTTCATATTGATTGCTTTGATTCTATTCAAATAAAGCGTGAGACGTTAAGTTGATCGATTATTTGTACAGTACGTTTATGAAAAATCACATCAAAAGTAATGTTTCAATTCAATATTATTTTTATACATACTATATTAATTTTATTTATATAATTGCTAATTATTATATAATAATAATTTATAGTATTATATAATTGTTTGTTTATTATATATTAGTGTAATAATAAATTAAAATTTATTTTCATGTTTAACTTTTGTATATTTAAAATATTTATAAAAAAAAAAAATATATCTGAAGAAAATCTATCTAGGAACAAAAATAACACATTGTTATTTTTGTGCCAATTCAAAGATCGATTAATTGGAAAGTCAGAAAAAAGAAACACGCAAGAAAATGAGCAATAACGACTAATTTACAAAAATAAAAATTAAAGTCGAAGAAGTAAAAAATTAATTTAATACAAAAAAAATTTGTTCATGGAAAATGATAAAAAATAACAAGAAATAAAACAAAAAAAAGAAGAAAAATTGATTCTTTTCTAATAAAAACGAGATTGTTTTTTCTTCTTGTGTATTTTATTCCAATAATTCGCTCTAAAAAAATGAATGCAGTGCATGGAATGCCCATATATGCTTATCTTTCTTTTCTTATATATATTCCAAAAGTGTACTACTTGTGTAATACTTTGTAAATACTTTGTAAATATGACTGTAAATTTTTAAGTGTATATTTAAATAGCATGCACGTATGCCCTCTCATCCATTTGCTTTATTTAGATAAATGATTACTTGTTATTATAAGTTTATAGATTGGTAAAACAGTTTGATTGTAAAGTAGTAATAAACTACTTTCTATTCCTTAAATACTTTCTTAAAAGTTATTTTAAAATGTGTTATATTTAAATAAACAATCGTTCTTAGTCATTATTATAACATAGGAGTAGGACTGTAATAGCAAGTAATAACAAGCAACAAAGTAGTTTCTAGTTCAGTATAGTTTCTGAAAGAAAACATGTTTAACTATTTTAAAAAATCATTCTTTGAATTGTTCTTATTAATACTAAATGATAAATAGAGAAGTGATAATCTATTTTCTAAAATTAAAAAAAGTGTAGTAATTTAGATGAGAAACTTTTAGCAGTAAAATCGTTACTTTCATCTCTGGCTTCCTCTATTTTATTTCGTAACTGGTTTTTATATGCTCAATAATTTTATTCCATACAAATTGAAAACAAAGAAATTTTTATTAAAAAATACTTTAACTGAAACGAATAGCAGAATTAATAATAGTTATGATATTTTTAATCTTGCAATTAACTTATATTCTAACTTCATATGTTGCAATTGCAGTCGTTTTCCTTTTAAATAATACACTCCAAAAGATGCATTCTCCACAAAGAATTTCATTGTGGATATTATTCTTCTCACTACGGTAAGTGAACTATTTGTTTCTCAATTAATTCAATATGTATTGTTTATTTTCATAATTCTAATTTTAGATAGTGGATAACGTAATTATATGTATATCTACTAATCTTAATACAATTCATAATTGTCATGAATTTTTGCAATGAAGAGTTAATAAATAATGTTGCACAAATATATTACGAAAAAGAGATATGTTAATTAATAAAAAAAAACATATTATTAAATAGTCAAGATACTCTCTTTTTTTCTCAACGTATGAGAATATGTGTATGTATGTATGTATGTATGTATGTATGTATGTATGTATGTATGTATGTATGTATGTATATATATATATATATATATATATACATATATACATATACATATACATGCAAATTTTTATATCATGCATATACAATATTCAATTACAAAAATAGATCCTTCTATTCTCCCTCTTTCTTTTTCTCTCTCTCGTTTATGTATAACTTTGAGGTATAATAATATTTGTGAAAATTATCAACTTTGAGTAATCTACCTATTATTTCATTACAAAATTAAAACATAATAATGTTAATAATGTTAATAATGTTAATAATGTTAATAAGATAATATAATTTCGAATATGTATTTCTAATATGTAAGAAAATATTAAATTAATGTTTCAAATTTCTTTTCAAAATATAATGCATCAATCTGCAATGACTTAATGTTTAATATTATAACAAAAATAAATATGGAAAGATATTAAGCTTTTATTTTTCATCGATACTATATCGATACTATATCAATAATTAATAAAAATATATCTGGATATATTGCTTTTTAATTTGTCTATAGCATTAGAATACATCTTTTCTTCATATTATTAATATTTAATATTTTATTAATTATTTAATTAGTGCAAGAAAATAAGTCATATAAACTATAATACATGTTTTGTAATATTAAGCAAAAATTGCTATATTTTTAACTCATAATGCACAAAGGTAATTAATCATCACCGATCGAAGAACACCATGGTTACTTTCTACTAACAAACGATGTTAGTATTTCAAGGCAGTAACAACTCGTAGTTATTAATTGAAATGCTCTGAGTGTAGATCCAAAAAAAGTCTATGTTAGTTTATGTATTTATTAGAATATATATTTAGAAAGAAACTCTCTGTCACAATATAATATACTAATATTATAATATAAAAATTAATTTTGTGCAGCATAGCATATAATGTAGGTGCTGTATACTTATTATATATCCTGCCAATAATGCTCAATTTATCAACAAAATTCCAAGGGTGTATCAAGTGTAAAAAGTGGAAAAAATGGCAATTGTTTCATGCTACGAATTTTCAATCATTGATGTATCCCTGCTTCACCTTCTGCAATATTCTTGGAATATTTCCATACAAAATCAACGGTTCAACTTTCGAAACTTCTAAACAGCGTTACGTATTACCAACTGTCGTCCTCTGTATTCTCTGCATTTATGAGTTAGAAGTGCTTTATGAGATTGACATTGCTAGAACGATCAAATTCAGAGGAATACCTAAGACACTTGAGCGTAACTGTTTTTATATACTCGGTAATTTTATCGCGGTTATTACATACATTTTAAGTGGTCGTCGAATGCACTTGCTCCAGACTATAATGAATATCTCCTCAAAATTGCCTACCAATTCATATCAAAAGCTATCTAGATTGATTCATACTAAGGATATCTTCGGTTTCATCTATTTAATCGGACTAACGATGTTCTATTGTTATACGTTGGATTCCAATAATTGGCACAAAGCGTTTGTACCGTATCTTAATCTGATAGTGTTTCAGATGGATATGCTATATATGAATTGTGTTTGTGTATTAAAAGCTTGTTTCAAAAGAATTGACGATAATCTGATAAATCTGCAAAAGCATGCGATAAAGGATAAGCCATCTCTCCTGAAGCAAATCTATTACGAACGTAGAAATCCATTTCTGTTAATGGAACTCAATGTTTTGAAGAAACAGCATCTGGTGATCAGCGATACAGTGCAAATGTTAAACGTGATTTTTTGTCTGCAACTCCTTGCTACTACAGTTATGACATCTGCCGAACTCACTTTCTATCTGTATTTTTATATAGTGCATTGGAAAAGTGGCACGTTAACGAATCATCTGGACAACGAGATTTATGATATATATTTGTTAGTGATTATGACATATTACTCTATAAAAATAGGGTTGATAGTATGGGCCTGTGAAACTGGTAAAAATCAGGCCATGAAAATTGGCACCACCGTTCACGATCTATTTAATAATATTTCGAATGCGCAAATAAAAAACGAGGTAATTTTAAAAAAAAGTATCTTTAACTAAAAGAAATCTTGCAGAGTTAATAATGGTAATTCTGTATTTAACTTTAATCTCACGTGTTACAGTTGCATCTATTTTCCTTGCAAATAATGCATCGCGGAAATGCATTTTCCGCGAAGGGTTTCGTTATGGATGCTACTCTTCTCACTGCAGTAAGTGAGCGATTATTTGCTTCTTAATTCAATACGTATTGTTTATTTTCATAATTTTGATTTTAGATAGTGGGTAACGTAACTACGTATGTACTAATTTTATTACAATTCTTGCTTACCACGCCAATTTGTAACGGAGGGCTAGCAAGTAATAACACAGAAATAATTTTCTAAGAAAGATATTAATTAATAGTAAAAAATATATTATTAAATAGCAAAAATACTCTTTTTTTTAGTATTATAAAAATACGTGCACAAATATATATATGTATGGACAAATCCTTATAACAGTATTCAATTAATGTATGTATTTATATTTCCTTTTGTTTAATTATACTTTGAATAAATACATTTGTAAAAGATATTATTTTGAGCTTATTAAATATTCTAACTAAAAAAAATATTAATGTTTATTATCAATAAGCTAATACAATTTTGAAATTACTTTTAATGTATAAGAAAACATTTAATTATATAATAATATTTCAGATTTTTCTCTTCAAAATATCTACACTGAGAGAAAATGAAATAGTTCTGGCAACTATAAATTTGACAACTTTTGCAATTGAAGTAACTACTTTTATAAAGTAAAAGAAACTGAAGTAGTGCTGAATGTTATAAAAATATAGTCATAGTATTAAATTGTATGAACTATTAATTGATAATAAAATAGTGATTCAACTACAGTTACTTGAGTAGTTACTCGCACTTCATGCAAATAGATATAATACTTACATTTTTCTAATTTAGACAAAACTTTTTTTTTTTAATAAAATATTTTATAGCATATAATTAATTAATCATTGTTGAGGTAACTTTAAGAAATACATTAAAAATCTTTTCTCTAAAGTCGCTCGGCACGAACAGTACACGGCATTGTTATCAGAGGGACGTATCAGAGTTCAGTTTCTCCCTAGAAAAAAACCATTCAGCTTATAATAAAATGCGCAGCGTTGGTTTCAAACTTGGAAGACAAAAATAAATAAGAAATGCATATACAAATTTGTAACTATGTATTATAAAACTTTAATAAAAATAATAAATAAGTGAACTAAGAAAATATAGTAATATTGATCATTTGTAATTAATTATGCAGTTAATGTTGCTATATTTTCTTAGTTCACTTAATCTAGTATCTCATTAGAATTTAATAATATGTATATTGAGGCGCTATTTCTACAAATTTAGTTATCATATGACTTGTATCTCTGAGTGCATGCATCGTTTTGCAATAACTCAAGGTTTAATATATAAAAATATAAATAAAAAGAAATTAAGCAGTATTTTATCGATATCATATAGACAATGATTAGTGGAAATATAGCCATGAACAATTTAAAATAAAATTTCAATAGTATTCTAAACAAAATCGTTTATATAAAAACATTACTTAAATACAAAAGAAGCAACATTTTCGATCAAATATTAATACATATAAAATTCAATGTAGACTGTATGTGTGACGTTATACGTGATATATGTAATTCTCAAGAATTTTATTCGTTGTCATTACAGATAACTTATTCGTTTTTGTTAATAATTAATATCAAAATTTTATCTATTCTTAGTATTTTGATATTGTTGAATCATGGGAAGTATTATTAAAATATTATTTATCCTAAAGTTTAAAAAATTTTTAAAAAATTTTAAAAATTTAAACGTATATTTGACATTTTAAATTAACATGGGATTAGCGCCATTCAGGCGGTTTAATATATATTATTTCGTTTGTACATATAAATTGTTGTTATTTAATGCCTCATATAAACAAGAAGTTATAATGCTATTTGAAATAAATAATAATAAAAAATAAACAATAGCAAAAAATAAAAAGTTTTGAATATTTTTAAACATTATAATTATATATCACACACATTCTTAAAGTTGCGGCATAGAAATATTAAACCTTACATATTCAACATAATACCTTATATATTCAATAAAAATCTTTAAAACCTTTAAAAATATTTAAAACTAGAGAGTAACAACATTTGACTATGCTACATGTAAATGATCATGATCAGAAATATTCTGAAAGTATAGTCGTATAAATTAATTCTCAGCCCTTTTAATGAAAATATGTAGTTTACATGAAAATGAATAATCTTTCAATCTTTTTTACCTCTTCACTTCAACTCTGCAATATTAATAGATACAAAAATAACGCTCGACTGAAATTTTCATCCGAGTCCAAATGATCCACTCGTGTAGTTGAGAATTAAATGTACGTTCCGAGAATTAAGTTGTATGTCTCAGAAACAGTTAAAGACTTTAAAATATTACTGATCATGTATGCCGTAGTCACTATTCTCTATTTGACACATATATATATGATTGTGGTGAGTTATATATACATATATATATATATATATATATATATATATAAGTATGACGATTACGCATATGTGTTATACTTTGCACAACAATGTTATAACAATTACCGATCGAAGAGCACCATGGTTACTTTATGACTAACAACTCCTTAAGTATTGTTTCGATATAGCAACCGCTTGCAGTTTTCACTAAAGTTCGTCGAGTGTAGATTGTCAAAACCGTACATTTATAAACAAACAGAAGACTACATTCAGAAATATCTATCGCAGTAAAACTCATGCTTACACTAAAGTATAACGAATAAAAATTTTTAGCTGTATCTAGATTGTTATAAATTGTTGTACACCGAAAATAATTAATGTCATTAAAACTTTACAGAAGCGCCAAGTACAAAATGTGGAAGAAATGGCAGCTGTTCCGTGCTACAGACTTTCAATCGCTGATGTATCCCTGCTTCATCTTCAGCAATATTCTCGGAATATTTCCGTACAAAATCAGTGGTTCAACCTTCGAGATTTCTAAGCAGCGTTACATTCTAGCAATCTTCATTCTTGGTGTTTTCAGTATTTATATGCTGATAGTGCTCTATGAGATTAACATCGCTGGAACAATCTATGTCGAAAATGTACCTAAGACTCTTGAACGCAGCAGCTTATACATATCCGCTACTTTTATGGCGGTCGTCGCATACATTTTAAGTGGCTCTCGAATGCACTTGCTCCAAACCATAATGAATGTTTCTTCAAAACTGCCCCTCAATTCGTATAAAAAACTATCTAAGCTGATTCATACCAAAGATATCTTGGGTTTCTTTCTTCAAATCATAATAGAAGTGTTTTATTGTATCAGATCGAACTTTACTTGGTACAAAATGCCTGTACCATATATTCATCTGATGGTATTTCAACTGGATATGTTGTATATGAATTGTGTTTGTATATTAAACGCTTGTTTTAAAAGAATCGATGATAAATTAATAAATTTGCGGGAACTCGTTATTAACGATGAGCCGCATCTCTTGAGGCGGATCTATCACGAGCATGAAAATTCATTCCTATTAATGGAGTTCAAAGCTTTGAAGAAGCAGCATCTAGTAATTAGTGATACAGTGCAGATGTTAAACGAAGTTTTCAGTCTGCACATTCTCGCTACTATAATTATGACTTTTTCTCAGCTCACTTTCCATCTATACTTCTGTATAACGGAATGGGAAACTAGCATGTCTGAGAACAGCACGTTTGATTTATTTTATCATATGTCTGTAATGGTGCATACCACTATTTATTGTATGAAAATAATATTGATAATATGGGCCTGTGAGAGCGGTAAAGACAGGGCTATGAAGATTGGAATTACCGTTCACGATTTGCTTAACAGTACTTCAGATAAAGAAATTACAGAAGAGGTAAATGAAAAAATAAAATTTTATTTTTATGTTCGTCTGAAGACATTTTGTTTATTAATGTAACTTTTTATATTTATATAAAATCTTACAGATTAATAGTTTTAGAATCTTGTAATTAAGTGTACTGTAATCTCACGTTTTGCAGTTGCAGCTATTTTCCGTGCAAATATTGCATCGCGAAAATGTATTCTCTGCGAAAGGTCTCATTGTGGATGTTACTCTTCTTATTGCGGTAAATGAATAATTATTTGCTTTAGAAATAATTCGATGTGTGTTATTTATTTTTAAATCTGATTTTAGATAGTGCGTAACATAAGCACATATCTATTAATCTTAGTACAATTTTTTATTACTGTGCGTGTATGCAACGCAATAATGATACACAAATAATTTAATTAAAGAGAGGTATATAATTAACAATTGAAAGATATTATTAAATAGGTAAGGTTTTCTCCTTTTTTTTCATAATATAAGAATATGTATACATATCTATCTATATATAGATAAGACGTTATATATTGTGATGCATGCATTTATAACATTATACGATGTATTTTAGAAATAAGTCTTTTACACTCTCGCTTATGTATCCTTTTAGCATAATAATAATAAAAAAACATATTGTTTTGTATTTATTAATTTTATTTTAATTAATAAATTTATTAACAATTTTATTTCGTTATGAGCTAGTATAACTTTAAATATATTTTAATTATATATTTTTATTAATTGTATATATATTTTTAATATATGAAAGTATACAATTAATAAATATATCAGATCCTCAAAATATTATTGATTATTTTGCGATAACTTAAGATTTAATATACGAATAAATACATAAATAAAAAATTGTTGTATCTAATATCTAATCGATGCTATACTGACAACGGTGTAGAAAAATTTAGTTTTAAAAAATTTATAATAAAATTTCAATTATCATTATAAAAAGTATATATTTTTTATTACACTAGCAATTCATAGATAGAATTTTATCTTTTTCTGTTATTTTATTATTAAATATTAAATGTCACTGTTAAAGTTATTTAATAATGTATTTTGTATTTTCAAATAAAATTGGTTTAACGCTCTATTAAGATAATTCTCAATGTGTACCTTCTATTTCTTTTATATAAACAAGTAAAACTAACTTTTTAATATCTCTACAAACAACAGAAATTGATAAATTACAATATATACATAAACAATAATAAAATAGTTTTTAATAATCGTTTTGAGCTATACAATTTTGAGACAGTAGATTTAAATGACGTGTTATATTTATACGCATGTACATGATTAGGAA